AAACCCTAAACCTCAGATCCTAAAAGCCTGATCGTCTCAGGTTCGTCAGGGAGGCAGCGGCTACGTTGTTGGCCCAGCCTCTTCTTCAGGACACAGGGTTTAGGGTTTAGGGGTTTAGGGGTTTAGGGTTTAGGGGTTTAGGGTTTAGGGTTTAGAGTCTAAAGGGTGGTTACATAGGGTTCCTATATGGGTCATAGGTACTAGAGTCTAAACTCCTTGGAGGGGGTTACATAGGGTTCCTATATGGGTCATATGTACTATAGTCTAAACTCCTTAAAGGGGGTTCCATATGGTTTCTATATGGGTCATATGTACTATAGTCTAAGCTTCTTAAAGGGGGGGTTATATAGGGTTCCTTTATGGGTTATATGTACTATAGTCTAAGCTCCTTAAAGGGGGTTATATAGGGGATTATATAGGGCTGGGGTTTAGGGTCTAAACTCCCTAAACGGGGGTTACCATAGACGATTATATAGGGGAGTATTATATGGGGTGCTAAGGGGGATACGAGGAGTGACTATTGATTGTGGGGGCGCGTAGGGGGGGACGGGGGTTTAGGTGAGGGTTGGGGGGTTTAGGTGAGGGTTGAGAGCTGGAGGGGGGCTATACATATAGGGGGATTAAGGATCCACTCCTCCAACCCCACTTAAGCGCATTCGGGTGCATTGTGGGATGGGAAGAAACTCTCAAGATATAGCCCCTACGGCCACCTCAATGCCCAAACAGCCAAACGTTAAACCCCAAACCCTCAACCCCAAACCCTAAGCTCCAAAGCCTAAACTCCGAACCTTACCCTTACCCATGATCAGGGCGCATCTGCGTGCAGTTCGAGCAGCGGGAAGATCAGAGCGACAACCGCCTCAACTGCCTACCCGATGAGCTGAGGCGTCGCGGTGCAGGGTTTGGGGCTTTCAGGTTTTAAGGTTGGGGAAGAAGGGTTTAGCGTTTGAGGTTTAGGGTTCAGAGTTGTGGGTTTTGGTGGTTAGTGATTACGTAAGGGTTTGTGTTCTTGAGGGGTTGTTAAGGGGGATACTAGGAGTTTGACAGTTTAGACTATAGCTCATTTTGGGATATTGGGAATGCTTCCTTCTTTTTGATGAGGGGTTTGGTTAACGAGGCGTATCCCAGACTTTGCTGAGAGAGGGTTGTAGGGTTCGGGGTTTAGCAATTGAGTATCCGATGATTTCTTGTAATCCCTTCTCATACTACTATCCCCCATCCGCTGCAATTTTCCCCTTTCATATAGTTGTTCTATTTCGGGAACATCTATCATTAGGGGGTGTGGGGGTGTTATTAGGAGAAGTGTTTCAACTCTACAATTTGTGTCCTAGCTCCCACGCCCCTTAGCCGCTCGCCCTTTTCCCGGCAGTTTTTCCAGAGCTTACACCCAATGAGGAACATAAAGCCATGATGCCTAACAGTATCCCAGTAAGGAGCCAGTTGGGTATTCCTCAATATAAACCCTATATAATCCCTTAAGGGGGCCCTATATAATCCCCTTATAATCCCTCTATACCCTTTGGGGTCCCTAGGGGCCCCGCTTTTTGAGAAACTCCCAGTTGAATGGGATCATTGGGGGATTGGTGGGCCAAGCGTGCTGGCTGAAGGCATACTCTGGCGGGAGGGTACCTGGCCGGAACGCGCGTCCGCTGCAATCGTCCACTGGAAACACCCAGGTGGGGTGCCCTAAATCCTAAACCCTGGGATTTTAAGTGTTGGGGGTGCGGGGTTGCGGGCTCAGGCTGTGACAGGTGCCTCTCAGATGGACTTGCCAGCTTTATGGTGTTCTTGTATTACAGATCTCCCCATTTTGGGCTCTACTTGAGCTATAGCCTAAGCTCCTCAAAGGGGTTATATAATCTAGGGGTTTATAGGGGAGCATTAGAGTGGGGAAAGGCGCAATGCTAGGAGTTGAGATTAGGTGCTCCGCTGGAGCTTCTTGGCCCCAACCTGATGGCATGAATACAAATTCAGTTTTGAACGTAGTGTTTGCCCTCGTGCAACAAAAAACTTGAAAAGGTAGGTTTACCTTGAGGCCCCTGAGGCTTACCATGAGGCTTCCCTAAACCCTAAAATCAAAAAAACTACCAGAGTCAGAAGCTAACAAAGTAGGTGTAACACGCCAGGCAAAACTTTGGATTCCGTTTCCTTCGAACTTTCAGTTCCCTGAAAGGGCCCAAATCCTAAACCCTAAACCCCATACTTCAAGCTCATTTAAAATGCTTTCGCATAATTCCAGCCATATTCATCCCCGTTCTTCCGATCTGTAGACTTCACATAAAATCCCCATACCCAAGAGCTTTCGACCCAAAAGCCGAAATCGCTTCACGTCTGAACCCCTAATCTCCAGATCCTGGACGCCACGCCCTAAACTCAACCTCAAACTCTTCATACCAGTTCTGAATCCCAGGATTGTTATTCCCGCCGGGAGTTCCGGCGTAGTGCTGGGTCCGGCGCGGGACTCGCAGTTCCAGCGCCTGCTGGTGCGTTTTGCCCTCAACGGCCACGAGCATGTAGCTGCCTGCCCTAGATTCAGGGTCGCGTAGGCGCCAAAATATTTTGGAGAAGCGTGCAGTATTATAGAACACTACAACAAGAGAACCGCTGTGAGGGGATAACGTTGCAAAACATTCAGGCCTCTATGTGCGAGTCAGGGTGTCGAAGCCTTTCACATGATGGATCATGTTATGCCCCTCCTGTTTTGTTTATCTAGTTCAGCTTGAAGCATGTCCTGTGAATCCTAGGCATTGAAGCTGTTTGTTCGCACAACCTGTTCCCTGCAAAATGCGGGTGCAAAAGAGACATTGGTTGAGAACTCACGATATCTAAGTCCATACATATCCGTACATCGCTATAAACCCCTGGTATTACTATCCCTGTTGGAACCCCCATCTATTCGTGGCGTCAGGAAGAGGAAAGTTGTTCCGGATGCTTGTAGTACAGTTGATATTGGGCTACATGGGAAAATACTTTAAAGATTTTTTTCTAAGGCGCTGCTACAACTCCTATTGCTTTCTTTTGCACTTGTTATTGCAAGGGGAATTGATCTAAGGGCTAGCGCTTGCAATGGCTTCGTTAGACCCCTGCGAAAGTTTGAAAACCCTCACAGGCCCTTCAGTAAACCTGTAGCATACTTGAAGATCTAGAAGTGGCAGCGGCGCCTGAGGGAATTATATGTTGCCGCGCAAAACCTACCTATGCTTTCTTAATTTTACCCCAATAATGGAGATTCAAATGGAAAGTAAAATGGAAAATTAAATGGAAAATGAAATGGAAACTGTGGGTATATAGGATAGTTGATTTCCCGAAATTAGGAGGAGATTGCTTGCGATCCCGTGGACATCGAGACCAACATCCCTGGAAACTTCCGGCGCGGAATCTTGCAAGCCTACTTACGTGGTCATCCCCCAAACCCTAAAAATGCACCCCCTAGGGTAGAGGGTTTAGGGTAGAGGATTTTAGGGTTTAGGGTTTGCAATGTACTCAGTTGAGAACATGGCATGTAGGGGGTGGTTGCGGGATGGATCAAGGACCCTGGCACTGGAGTGTTCAGGGCATGCCCGATTGATCAGTGGCTAAAGCCGAGTCCTCCACTACCCCAAGTCGATTGGCCCTACACTTGGTTGACGCACATTAACGCCCTTGTTCAAATCTTGAACCCTCACCTCCAATCCTTGACCCTAACCCAAAAACCCAAAATCTAAGTCTAACACTGGAATCCTAAGATCTAAACACCAGCGCCTAAACCGCAACACCTAAAATCTAAATCCCAAACCCTAAACGGTGACTGGAGATGTCATACTTCCAGGGATTGATTGTGGCCGCCTGGGGTTGATGCACACATCAAAAAACGTCCGGGCTAATTAGTTATGGATACATCACTGTTCCCTTGAAGGGGTTATAGGGATGATATGAGGGTATATACTGAGGGTATATGCACTAATGATATTGGATTCTGGGGTCACTTAGGGTTTTGGATACAGGTGTTTCCATGAATCTAGGGTTTCGGGGTTTTCATAATGCCGTGAGATGGAACGGCGAGTCATCTGATCCTACGTATGGAGAGCTCCCAGAAAGCCGGCGTTAATACCGGGACATCCTCTCGTTGCAGAGATTTCCAACTGTTCTCGCCAGGAGTATGAAGTTGTAGGTTTATTAGGCTGAAATCCCACAATACAATTAACACCCAATAAGCAACATATACTTCCGATCTTCAGTGACCTAAATCTTAGCTTCATACGGAAATGGTCCTCAGCTGGACACCCTAAATCCCCTACATAGACCCCTAAACACCCTCAACCCCAGAAGCCCCCCTACACCCCCCAAGCCCCTAAACCCCCTAAACCCCCTAAACCCTAAAGCCTGGATAAGCAAGGCAACGCGATTGTTGCCACGAGGGATCTTCGAGTTGGCGGCCAGGTGTGGCCGATGTGTGCTGTTGAGTCTAGTGGGCTTAGGATTTAGTGCTAGTGAGGTTTTAGCGGGTTTAGGGTTTAGTGGGGAAAGGATTTAGTGGTTTTAGGGTTAAGTGGGCTTAGGATTTAGTGGGTTTAGGGTTTACAGGCGTAGGGTTTGGGGTTTCTGGTCAGGGAACTCCCAAAGTTGCAACCATATCTCCTTATACTTCCCTTGTAGATCACATCAGTGCTTCAAAACATATATTCCCCTGTAAGTAGATAGAACATGAGGTTATTGGGGATCTTATTTTAATATACCCAAAGCCATATTCTATCTACTAAAAGGGGGACTATAGACCCCTAAACCCTAAACCCTAAATGGTAGTTTCCATTTTCTTTTCCATTATCCCCATATAACCCTAATCTCAAATCCCAAATAACACCTATAAAACCCTATATAATATAGTAGTTTCCATTTTCTTTTCCATTATCCCCATATAACCCCTATATAACCCCTTTAAGGGGGACTATAAAGCATGCCTAAGTAGGAGGGGCATGTTTTGGGGGCTGCCATAAGAAAGTTTGGGCGTTAAGGCTGGCGAGTTTGAGGTTTAGGAAGCCACACGATTTAGGGTTTAGGGCGGGGTTCATTCAGGGTTTTCTTGCCTAAAGAAAGCAGGTTTGCCTAAGGCCTTCCTTTTTGGCTGCTTTGTTGCAAATCCTGGACCGTCAACCCTAAACCCTAAATCCTAAACCCTAAACCCTTCAACCTTCCTCCATGAATCCCTAAGCCGGGGCCGTAAAACACATCCATGAGTCCTTCAGAAATGGGGCCCAGCTAGGGTTTAGGGTTTAGGGTCCCTACATTCACTCCCCAACCCCTGAAGCAAATGTAAGTAGTCTCTTTTCCTGGGATCCCTAGATTACCCTTTATTATCCCAAAATGCCCCTATATAACCCTATAATAAACCCTAAATCCCAAACCCTATCTTCCCAATATGTCAGGTGGTGGTCCGGGAAGGTGTGCTTGGAACAGTAGTTGGGCCAAGTACCTCCGTTTCTGGGCTCCCAAATGCATTTGCCTTGGGTATAGTCCCCCCTCAAGTAGATAGAATGTAGGGTTTACGTAAGGTTTTGCGTTTAGGGTATAGTCCCCCTTAAGTAGATAGAACATGGCTTTGGGTACATGTTAGTTACATCCCCATATACCCTATATTCTATCTACTTAAGGGGGCTATAAGGTTTGGCTATCCAAGTTACATTGGCTAACAAAATTTGATTTATGGCTGCCTTCCAGGGCCGTGACATATTGTAGCATTCCGGACAGGAGTGGCCGTGAGCTGGTGCTGTGGTACAAGTGCCAAAACTCACATGGGGTCTACATAGGCAGGTTGATGTAGCGCTAAGTGCGATGGTGCAGCCATAGCACATCCTTAGTTTTGATGTCCTTTGATTGCGGCTGCTTTGTCCTGCTTTTTTTACAGGAAGGTGCTGGTAGCAGCCGAGGACTCACAGCACCGCGTCACAGTCTCCTTTAGTCACCGAGAAGATGGCAGCCGCAACCGTCTCAACTGCGTGATCAACGAGATCAAGCTCTACCTGGTGACTTGGGTAGTATGGTTTGTAGAAGTTTGGCTCATGTTGAATTGGCCGTGGGCTGGAATAATGCCAAAGAATTTTCTTTTTTTGGAGCCCTTCAACCCGCTTAGGCTGGTGGTTTGGAGGTGGGTGCTCGTGTTCAAGCAGTCCGCCCCATCAGCTACGACGGGTTGGCGCCTGTTCCAACAGGATCTGTGGGTACAGTGGTCGGCCCTGCCATTGATGAGCCCTTGGCCCGCATAGTCGTTCGCTGGGACTCTGCATCGCCCACAGGAACCCCACCCGAGAGGGAGGCGCACTCCGACGATGTTCGGCTCATGATTGCCGGCGGTTTTAGGCGTGGGGAGACCGTGCTGGCCGCCAAGGATCTACGTGTTAAAGGCGTAGTGGTGGTCAAGCAGAATGTGTTAGGGACCGTGGTAGGGCAAAGCTCAACAGATCCAGCTGGTCGAGTGACTGTTGCCTTCGCTCGACGAGAAGACGGGCGCAGCAACAACTTGCAACTCGGCTGTGCAACCGAGGCACCATGCCTTTGTGGCCGTGTTCTTTCCATTTTCAAACAACCAGTGCGGGAGCGACCCAACGCATGCCCAAAATTATTAGATGAATCCACAGATAATGTCAAGCCACTAAGCCCGACACTTCTTCCCAGGAACGTGGTTCCAGCTGAGATCCAGCAGCTGGGGCAAATTTCGCCAGATTTTCATTTCAGAGTTGCCCACATTATGTATAAGATGCACACATATACATACACATGTGTGCATCTAAAGTCCCCATACACTGGCTCACCAGCAGAAACCGAATCGCCCTGAATCCTGATTAACCCCCTAACTGAACCCTAAACTTTGGAGTGTATTTGGCATCCTCGGCCCCACTCCAACCTACGTCTTCAACCCGAAGCCCTAAAACTCCAAACCCTAAAGCCATGCAAGCGGCAAAAACCCTAAACCCCTCTACACCCCAAACCCTTGGAGTGTCTTAGGCACATGCCTTGCACTGGTGGGCTGGTTCCTGGAGACCGTGTCGCGGCCCTGCGCCAGCTTTTGGTCGTACCAAAAGGCAGGGTTTAGGGCTTTAGGGTTCAGGGGCTTCAGGTTCCGGAGTTTTTCGGTTCTTGGTATCTTAGAGTTGAGGATTTACAGTTATGAAGTTTAAGGTTAGGGTTGAGGGGGTAAGGATCACTTTGGCGGCGCTCGCTTGCAGTATTGGGCCGCAACTAAAGAGATCATGCTAAGGTGCCGTAGTAGTTCTTATGGTAACTGCCATCATACGGGTGAATTACTGAACCTGAAGGGCCCCAAGTAAGTTTACCATCAGAATGATTTCCCAACAATGGAGTCGCCTTATCGAATCAGAGGACCCATGAGGTGGTACACTTTGGCCTACTCCGTGCCCTCAGATATCTTGATTCATCACGCCATTCTCAGCCACTGATGACTTTCGAGAGTATGGCACTGGGTAGGCCCCTGGGATATTTAATATTTTCTCTAATGGCATGAGGGACCCTACATCCTAATATTCTTCAAAGGGCTTTAAGGGCCAACCCAGGGCAGTAAATGGGAAGATTTCGAACCATGAGAGAGGTGGAGCCTTTTTGCAAGAAGTGCTTGCATTGTACTGAGCAACAGCATTCTTGGTGAATCAATTTGCATAAGGAAGAGCTTCAATGATAACGCTGAGGATGCAGAAACGCTGATAACCATGGGCCTGTCTACCTGAAACCTTTGGAGTCGTGTTGGGCATAGTGGGCACTGTCATGCACAGCCCTAGGCTGCCATGTTGCATGGAAAGTGTTTCGCACAGTTGTATGGAGAGTGTAAGCAGTGCTAGGCCATCAGCGGATAGAAGCAAGGAATGATTGAACCTGTAACTCTATAAACCCTACGCCCATAAACACGAAGTTCGTAGCCCGAAAGATTTAAACAGCAACACACGCATCATACGAGCTGCAAAACGGCCGACACTAAGTTGGGCCCTAAAATTTGCAGTCCTCTTTTAGGTGGGTGTATTCCTGCCGGTGCTTCCCTACCTAAAGCTGCTTTCGGGGCTTTGCACTTTCGGGTTCAAGGGTAAAATCTGGGGTTTAGGATTCAAGATTTAATGTTTAGGGTTTAAGGTCTAGGGTTCAGTTTTTTGGGGTGGGGCATTTTTCCATTACCACAACTCCTCAAATATTCCCTCTTCTTCGGTCCAGAGCCTAAGAAGCAGAACAAGGCAAACGACCCAGAGCACCATGCTGTGGGATTTTCAAGGGTTATGTTATAGGGGGGTTTAATTCATGCACCAGAAGGCCTCATGATCTTTATGGAGGGGCCTAGAGGTTCTGAGACAGGGTTCCATCTTCGAAAGCAAAGATCCCTCAGTTAATACTTCCCCCCAATAGTTGGATAACGATCTAGTTATATATGCAGCCCCTGATGCTGCTCTGATCTCAGACTCCTTTTCGGTTGGGCAAGTACCTGCTAAACCCACAGCCCTAAAGCCTTCGCACCGCCAGCGGCAGGTAGTCAGGGCGTGGTAGTCGGCCCATCCTGCTCACAGTCCAGCAGGGTAGCTGTCCGATTCAGCTCGCTGGAAAGCAGCGGCGACAAAGAGGGCGGCGAGGACGTTGTTGCTTGGCTTTGGTGTATCAACATGTGGGTATTTCTGCGCATGAGGCCCTGCAAGGACTTCAAAGAAACAGCGACAAATTCATAGGGAATGGTCAAATGGGATATAGCTGGTACCAGGGATCATGAAGGGATTGCTACAGGCTACAGGGATCCATGCCTTCCCTTGTAAGAACGAGGTGTAGAAGGAGCCAGGACTTGTTCCGGCCAGCTGGAATGTCCAAGCCATTGACATCGATTCGAAGGTCGTAGAACCGACCCCTGAACCAACAAGCGTGCGCCCACACACGAAGATTTATGTGAGAAAGAGACTATCAGAATAAGTTTGTTGATCGCGGGTTCAGACTACTACTCAAGTTGAAGTTGTTCAAAAGCAGGCCTGCGCTCCGGGATTTAAGCTAATATAAATGCAGTGCGAATTTGTTGATGACCCTGGCTGACCTTGTGGATCCCAAACAGCAAGCCGGGCCTCAGTTTTCCAATACCGATACTCCATGATAGCACAGACTCGGTGGTCCACAAGTGTGTTGTGAAAGTACCATGTCCTTACTGGGAAGAGGGTGCTTGAGGCTGCAGGAAGATAAGCTTCGTACCGCTTACGGCTTACATGCCCTAGGTGTAAGGTGCTTAGAGCATGAGGCTTGGGTTTCCTGCGCACGAAAAGAATAGTCATGCTCACCCATCCATGGTCCATGAAACATGTCTTTCCATATCCAGCTATACTTCATGCGGCTGGCTGTTTCCCTGAACTCAGCTGTTCCACCTGCACTCAGACGTGAAAGCCTCAACCCTAAACCCAAACTAAGATGGTGGCCAGTAGGGCACAAGGACCTGGGTTTTCGGGTTAAGTCCAGGGGATGATGTTGTAGGTACTGTATCCATTCCTCCATTCCATACCCCTAAACCCTAAACCCTATAACCACCAGGAAGAAACATGTATCCTTGAGCTCAGGTGCTCCACGTGGAGCCTGAAGATTTGAAGGTCCTCAGTGCTGTGGCGGAAGACGTGGACGACGCGCTCCAGCCAGACAAGGCTTCTCAACATCCCCTACTGTTTAGGGTTGATATGCTGGTTATATAGGGGATATATAGGGGTTATCTATAGTATAATATTGCAATACTGCTACTGTCAGTGCCATTGTACCGGCTCGGCGATCGAAAGCTGCCCGCCACTGCTACTGCTTCTACTAGTACTGCTGCCGCATGCAGGAGATGCTGCTACGACTATTCCTCTCCTCCTAGACGCATTTCTTGCGATGAGCGATGATTCATCTGCTGGCTGCCTTCAGGAGGACGACACGGAAGACTCGGGACCAGCGCTTGCTGGCGGCTACTACAGAGGTGGGGATGCCAAAGGGAATCGTAAAGTCACAGTACACAAGAATGAGCCTAGAAGGGCACAGTAGTCAGTCGAAGTGGTAATGACAGGAAAAGAGCAGTAGAAGTCATGGCGAAAATCACCAACAGTAGTACTACCTGGAGTTGCAGCTGCTAGGGGGCTTTGAACAAGAAGGATTCCGAAGTAGTATCCACTGGAAAGTCCTAAATGGCACCTAATTTCCAGATACTAAAAAGGAAACATTATTAATATACTCCCTATATACTCCATGTGGCAGTACGTATAATGCCTATATAGCATCTTCACTTACTCTCTACTTATACAGGAGTTTTGGATACCAGAGGTTGAACTTTGTGTGCCTCCCACGTGACCGCTGTCCTCACCCTATCACGCCACCTCGTAGTTTCCGAGTCTTTCCATTTGTGTTTGGGGGGGTCATGTACAGTCCTGGAGGTTGTTCAGTGTTGAATATCTTTTATAGAATAGTGTAGTATATTACGGTACATTGTAGTATATTTTAGATTGTTATGGTATAGTATAGTATAGTTGCTTGTAGGGAACTGGTGACTTTCGGTTCTTGCGTCTGGTCCAGGTGATGCCGTCGCAGCAACTCGAGATTTGCGCGCCCCTGCTGCAAGTTCATGCTGCTTATTGGGATTTCCAGGTGGTCTAAACCCTAAACCCTAAACCCTGGTGACCTTGCCCCCCAAAGGACTCAGTAGTCGGGGTTGGACGCATGGGCCTCAGCTTTTTTGTGAAACTCTTCACTGTGGTTTATGTTGGGTCATGCCCCCTCCCAGTAACTGTCCTTAAAGGGGCCTTGTTAAGGGGGTTCTTATAACTCCTATGACCCATTGTGGTAACTGTTACTGTAAGGGGGAATGACCCCATTTATGCCGTTTTGCCTTGAGGGGACAAAAGGGTTTTCGGGGGCATGGTGGTGCCAGGGAGGCGCTATGTATCCTCCCCCGAACTAACGTGGAAGCTCACACACTCCCGTTACCGAGGACAGTAGCCGTAGCCTTTATGAGGACCTCTTAGGCTCCTGTGTCAGTTTGAGGAGTGTATGTCTTGTGACCTTTTCAATCTCAGCAGCCCTTATGATTCTTATTCCCGCCTGCTCTTCCTACAGTAGTGCCACTCCACCTGTCTCACTGCACTTCCGCTTCTAATGCCCGCCATGCTTGCACCCCTTTATTGAGGAAATGTCTAAATGAGGAAGGCCTTGGCCGTAGTTCATCGAATGTGGATGCCATTTTGGGGTCTAAGAAGGGTTATCTTATTTTGAGACTGTATGTGGGGACCCTCACTTTGGGGCCCGAACCATCAGCCCTGCATATTGAGGCCCAGACCGTAAGCCCCAAAAACCTGAACCAAGAGTTTAGGGAAGTTTGTGCCCGACGCGTGAGCTTGATTGCCAAGGTGTAGGCGGAAAGATCGTCGTGCGCGCCAATATCCTTGGTACCGTGGTCGGACCCTCTGGGCAGGACCTAAGTAGGAAGCTTGGCGGCATCAGCAACTGGTGCTGAAAATGGAGGTGCTATTACAATAGCTTCTGAGGAATTAAATGAAAAAAGAGCGTCTAAACTCCAAGTATCTCCCATAATGAACCGTATAAACAGTCCCCTTCAGAATCCACTATATAGTCCCCTTTCAGGAGTTCAGACTATAGCTCACATGAAACTTGGCTTTGTACAAGAGAAGTGGGGGAGAGAATAAAGGCATGATGGGAAAGTAGATTCCGAATTCCCACTACCTTTTTATCAGCAGTAAGTTGCAAACTTCTGGCAGTCATGACCAGGTTTTCTCATTCGAGTAGCAAGGTAGCAGTAGGTTCCACGTCCGTCAAAATGATAGCAGCCGCCCTGAGCATCATAATATCGATTGTCCAGTTCTGATGGGTGAAGCTGATACTGAAGGTTCTACGCCACGAAGGGTTTGCTCGGGTTTTAGCAGAAGTGGTGTACAGTTTAGAGGAGTGAGTGGCGTTCTGCACCCAAGCTTCAAATACCGATTCGCACATCAGAGCTACAAACCTGGGTTCAGGAATGTGTCTTCATCATCTACAAGAACCACAGACGTAACACCACTCGAGCATGCTTAATTCTCTATAGATTCAGAACTGTTTTTCAAGGTTTCATGTTGCAAGGGTCATCCAGGTGTAGGTATCAAAGCTGAGGATCACGGTCGCTTTTGCATGGAGGGAAGACGGGAAGAGCAACAACCTGAATGTCATCGCAAGCGGCTTGCCAGCACAGCATTGTCTAGGGTGTTGGGTTCAGAACCCTCCCCCAACGCCCAACGCAAGTCAAGAGCGTCCGTGCAGTCACCCCAGCCTGGGGGCCTTGGGTTTAGGACTGAGGTGTGTTGGGCTTGATAGGGTTTAGGGTAAGACTAATGCTCAGTTTTGCCCCTAGGATGGGAAAGAAGGAGACAGACCAAAAAACAGAAGCCATAGCAATGATACCGGAGCTTCCGGCCTGGCCTCCTAAGCTCTGCAGCACCCTCAGTCCCAAACCCCTTAGCTTAAGAGCAGCCATTTTACACATCCCTACATGTGTCTCATGACCGCAGAAGCCCTACCTAAACCCCCAAAAGTATGTAAAATAATAGCCCTAAACCTATAAGAATAGCCATAAAGGCCATTATTTTACATACTTTTGGGGTCCAGGTAAGACTTCCATCCTGAACCCTGAATGCCCTGAACCTGCAAAGGTGAGATCAGAAGAGTCGAGTCTACTTCTGCCGAGCAGGGTGAGATTTGCGCGATTTGTTTAGCCGAGCTGGATGCAGATGCTGAGGAGGACACGGGAGTGGTGGTGGGAAGAGATGTAGGGAGTAGGAGGAGGAAGAGGAGTAAGAGAAGGAGGAGGACGGCAAGCTCCCTCCCCTTTGCTTGCCCGTGCCCATTGCCCGTTTGAATGACAGTTGCTGGGAACAGTACTTGTTTGGTTGCGGATGTGGTCGGGGCTGAACGTTATTCAGAGATAGCTTGGGCGACATGGACTGGACTCACCAGTAGCCCCATGTTCCTTCGATGCCGAGGATCCTCCGTACACATCCTGCTACTTCGAGAAACTTCCACACTCATCCCGAAAAGAAGGGTCCTTATACAGGTGTATCTACATATATATGTAGATATATGTCTTATATGTGTGTGCATATTGCTAGGTTACAGCCTTCTGCATTGCATGGGTTTCTACACGTTGCATTATCTGTCTTTTATACAAGATGAAGTTTTCCCAATCACATGCAGGCGGGCTGCCGAGGGCCTTAGGAAAGAATGTGGTTGAGCGTCCTTAAGACATTCAGAGGTTTGGAATGGAGGAACGGATCCCTTTTGTGGCCGTTATACAATCTCGCCCATAATCAATGCAGCTTGGATATTATTATGTAAATGTACAATATTATATAGAATATCGAGCCCTTAATATCACCCCCCCTGGTCCCTTGATAGACTGCCAGTGGGTGGGGGCAGGACCCAATATATGGTTGCGCGCTGTGCGTTCTGAGCCCTCCCCCCTCCCTTATGGTCCCCTGACCCCAGCCCCAGCCCTCCAAAAGTGTGAGCAGTCACAGGGATGGTGGGTGTTGCGGGGTGGGAGATGCCCGCCAGGGCGCAACCATATGTAGCTTCCGTTTTCTTTCGGAATCCTTCCTTCCCCACTAGCAGGCAGCAGGTCACGATGTGAAGCAAGGCCGAAAACTCCTCACGCCGAAGCTCCTAAGCTCCAAGCCGTCAGGACATATGTCGCATGCCCTGTGGACACATGTTGCACAAGTGCTGCGTGACTGCGTGCCTGGGCCAGCGTTGAGTTGAATCGCTCTTTTCCGAACATGTCCGCGTAGTTTAGACGAAAGCATCTCCTTTGTTACGCTCTTGGGCCCAGCAAGAAGCAAAAGCGGCACTTTTGTCGTCTGTGCAGTCACATCAATGACCCAGGTACCTCAACCATCAGACACACACGATGTCGAGCACAACAGCTATGGCACCTTCTACGAAGCCTGGCTGTCACCACAGGATGACTTGCTATTATACGCCTCACATCTAATTGATATAATCTCGAGATAAAATATTCGCATCTGCCCTACTAATACGAAGAACCAGGAAGTTTACGGCTTGGGGACTAAGAGGTGTTCAAGGGGACCTACACCTTCAATGGATGTCAAGAAAAGCGCTTCTGAAGAAGCTTCAGATGGCCTTGCGCTGAAGTACATAGTGAAGAAGTGATTTGTAGACCTTTGTCGCTTCGCAGGGTAGTTTAACTGTAGATCTGAGCGTTTGGAACCGCGGACGACAAACTAAATAGTGTCTACGTTACCACAGCGACAGCATCCCATGCTTCTGCGCTGAATTAGGTTAAAAGGGCTTGCGGTTCAGGTCATTCTTGAAAACACTTTGCATGTTCTGCACTGGTTCACAATAAGGGCCTTACCATTCAGTTTTTCGTCATGTCCCAAAAAGGTCCCAGACTCCCTGGTGAAAAGCCATCTTCCTTATGAGCATTCCGCATACAGCACCTTCACCTGTAAAGGAAATTGTGGTCCCTCTGGGCATCCCTAAGCACTTCACCCTTCACCCCACACACTGTTCATAATACAGCCCCAAACCCTTTTTGGGTACCGAAAGGACGACACAACCCTCCACATAATCCCTGCCAAGCCCTTGGACCGAGGTTTAGGGTTTATGTAGGGGTTTGGGGAAAGGGGTTTAGGGGTTTGGGGCTAGAGGTGGGTTTAAGGTTTAGGGCTTCCTCACTTAACAAAATTTTGCTGACGAAGCTTTCGAAATCAGTAGAACCTTTTACAGTTCCTTTTGTGCATTTGCTGGCGAAGCTTTCAAAATCAGTAGAACTTCTTGCAGTGCCTTGTACAACTCTTACAAATCCCTAAACCCCTAAACCCCTAAACCCCTAAACCCTAAACCCCTAAACCCTAAACCTTAAACCCTAAACCCTAAATCCCTGTCCAAATCAGAATCTGTTTAGGAAGCAAGGCCAAAGTCCCGTTTTCAAGCTTGAGCTCTACATCCTAAGATTTTTTCGTTTAGGGTTTAGTGGTGTTGGGGCAGGGTTTAGGGTTAGGTAATTGGGGTTTATAGGGTTTAGGGTGTAGGAAGTTACGTTTTAGGGTTCAGGGTGACTATACGAAGCAACAACTAGACTTAAATTCCTACAGCTGTGTGCTAGAAGGTTATAGTTGTCTAGGACCTCCGGATTGAATCCTAAACGCCAACACTAAACGCTAAATTCAAATGCACCCAAAGCCTCACTTACTCATGTATCTGTGGGGTCAAGGGCGCCGCAATCGTCGGGTTGCCCGGGCCTTGGCGTTACCATATGAGCTATAGTCAAAACTCCTGAAAGGGGTGAATATAGGGGAGTATATAAGGGGACTACTCTAGGGGTTATTATACTAGGAAAGTTTAGACTATAGCTCATATTATATTCCTATTATATCACTATTACAGGGTGGGGGGTCCTCCTAAACCCTAAACCCTATACCCATAAACCCTAAACCCCTAAACCCTAAACCAAGGGTCCTAGTTGTTCTAGATTTGGTGGAAACCTTGCTGCAGATTAGCATGGGGACCGCAAAAGAGGCTAGAATTTAGAACAGGCCCCGATGTGCAAGACAAGCTGGGTTGCTGTTACGGAACTTTTTTAGAAACTACTCTAATAAAGAAAACCTATGATTTACTATATACGCATATCATGGTAACTTAATTTAAACTTCTTATGGCCCAGAGGTTTGAGGCTTTAGGGTTTGGGGGGTGGTAGGGTCTTCGGACTCATGTGGAGGCTCTGGTGTAGGGTGTTCAGATTCTAGTGGTTTCAGGGTTTAGGGCTTACCTAGACCCTCCAATGGAGTTCCTTTTCTAGGTTTGGTTTTGAAAAGTGGGACTCTTGTTAGGATCACCAAAAAAAGGTACCACAGGGGAGGGTCTAGGTAGGGTTTTAGTGTAGGGTTCTTGGGGTTTCAGGTTTAGGGCTTGAGGGTTTAGAGCCTGCGCTATTTGAGGGCTCTTCTATGCCTCATATGGAGGGTTCCAAAAATTAGGGTTACCTTGAAGGGGGATATAGGGGTTATAGGGTTTGGGGTTTCCCAAAATTAGGTGTACTTTTTTTGCGGGGGTCCTATAAATAAGGACTATAGTACATATTGGGATCTATATTGGGGTTAACCCTATTTAAAGAAAGGATCATACACTTACTCAATAGGCAACCTTAGAACATTGGACAGAATTCAGGTTTTGGGGCCTGCTGTGCAGAACAGGGGTTAGGGTTAAGCGTAAGAATCAGGACATGTTCCTAACATTTTTTGAGGCCTTGAGCATGCTAGATATATGAGGACATGTTGAGACATGCGCAAAACGAGGGTTGGTTTCCACCCTGTAGGTCGGACGCTACATGTGGAACATCAGTCGTTTTTCAAGAAAGATTTACTGGGGCTTGGAAGAGAATACGGGAATATCTTATTTAGGGGCATATACGGATTAGGTTTATATTCCCTTATTCCCTACTAAGCCCTAGTAAGAAGAAGGGCTTGGGCGGGTTTCAGGGTGACTTTTCGGCATGCTTGAACACGGAACTCCACAGCCACAAGTTGTGAACTGGCTGAGGAATGTTTAGGACGTGTTGTAACTATGGCGTTTAGATCTTCTGCCCTTGAGGGTTTAGGGTTTAGAGAGTTTCTGTAGAAGGGCATTTGATGTGAAGGGAGGCGTGTAGGCTTCTAGGCTCTGAACTCTTGCCCCCCCTGAAACAAGCATGGAACCCTGCGTCACCCCTTTGAAGAAGGCCTTTGTCGGACCTCCTTTTTGGCGTTCCATGTCAGTATGAGAGAGGTATTTCCATTGAGAAGTCTCGCACGTTGAGGTGTGGCCGTCGTCCCCTTGAAGCCTGCGCAGTTGCCAGCTAAGAACCATTCCAGGTTTTGGGGCCAACGGCTTAGAACGTGGAATATTGAAGCGGTAGTAGGGGTAGCACCAGCGTGTAGAATAGGGAAGGTAAAGGATCGTAGGATTTAGCGTTTCTTTTTTTGGGCGGACGGTGCCCCTTGTTTAAGAGTCCCTATAGTAAGGATCATACATTGTCGGGTCTATTTTGGGCCCCCAAAGCCTCCTATTTCGGGAAACTACCTACAGGAGTTGGTGTTGACAAGCTGTGAGGCAGCAGGAGATTTTGGATTCAGGCTTTTCGGATGCGATTTTGGGCTGGTGTCTAGGGTTTCAAGTCTTACGGGTTGAGCACGTAGAGTTTAGGGTTCAGAGCCTCAGGTTCAGAATCTAGCCATGAGGGCGTATCAAGACTTACTGGTTCTTAGTAACTTAGTAGGGAAGAAGGGAATAGAATCCCTATATAATCCGTATATAATATATACTTTCATTCCCTACTAAACCCCAAACCCCACACCCTATATTACATCATGGAGATTATATTGCCTTTTTCCCTACTAGGAACCACCAAGAGGAGTGCAAGAAGCGGGTCTCAAGGATATTTCATTTCTCAGGCTCAGGGGCTTGCCCTTGCTCTTCACAGCAAACGTGGTAGTTTCCAAAGATGGGGGAACCCAAAACAGACATTCAAAATACTATAATGCTTAACATGGGGACCCCCAAAAGAGACCACTCAATGGTGGGAAGCCTCCAAGTGGTCTAGCCAGCCCTGTTTACAAGGTCTCGAAGCAGGGAACTATGGCTGTCAAAAGACACGCTAATAGCTGGGGCTTTTTACCGCAACACCCAAAATGCCCCATGGATATCATATGACCCACAGCCTAAACTCCGAGTATTCCGCTTAATAACCCCTCTAGTAGTCTACTCATATTATGGTAACCCTAAACCCTATATACCCCCATGTTATGGTAACTTGATTTTTTTTATCAACAACCCTGTGAATCCCTTGGCTGAGAGCTCAGGTGCCCTGTGTGCCGGAAAGAGATGTTGCCATAAATGGACCGACCCCTTGCCAGCCTGCGCTGTTGGGCGCCATCTTTGATAGGGTTTAGGGTTTAGGGTCTTGAATGGCTAGGGCTGAGGGCTTCAAATGGCAAATGATAGGTAATGCAGGGCCCACAAGCGGGCAAAATCCCAGACATGTATTGTTGTAAACACGGTGGCCCGAAATGCTCGTCCAATGCTGGTGGGTTACACTCCCATCAGTCTGGCGAATGCGTTCGAGCTTTGTGGGAGCGCTTCATCCCCACTTACTGGCTGATGGTTAGTAGGGAATGCAGTGGTAGAGTTTGGGTACTTCCCCCCTGTGTAACAGTTGGAGATTATCAAGACTATAGTTATATATGTATAGCCCTTAATATGACCCCTAATACAGACTGTTACAACGTGGGTTCATCACCCAAGGTAGAGTGTTCAGGAGAGCAGGGGTTTGAAAGGGTCAGTCTTGCGACGCTTCGAAGAAGCACAGTCCCTGCATTTCCATTCATGCCCTACTAATCTACAGTCAGCTTATTTCCGCATTACACGTCTCACCCCTACATAGCGTAGCTTGCCTCCCAAAGATCCTGTCTCCGCTGCTGCCACTAGCACTAGCATGATTTGGAGTTCAGGCGTCCAAAAGAGGACTAGCGCTTAGGAGAGCTTGTATCTCGCAGTTGGAACGTATTGGTTCGGAGTTCAATGTCTTTGAAAGGGAATGTGTTGCTTCACGCAGTTTTCGCACAAAGCAGCAGGAGGGCATGTAGAACTCCTAGGAAATATCATGAGCTGTAGGTAATAGCCACACAAGAGACAACTCTGTGCGAATTGAGCTTCAACCCTTCCAGAAGCTCAAATGGATGCACCTTTTCTCCTGTGTGACGCGACGACAGGATTTTGTGGACATGCAAAGGATAGAAGTTCGTGAAGCAATACCTGCCGAGGACGACTCGGGATGTAGCCAACTTTTTCGAGTGGCACAAGTCAATAGGAAGTTTCCTTGGTTGGGGTCCCCTTCGTTATTCCTCATGGAGTTAAGCGAGGGAAACTGCTGCAGCACTGTGCCAACAACTCATGCGAGGGCCTGGGAGGTATGGTTGGCCACTCCCACATGCTTGCCCGAGGGCTGCGGCCCGGAAGACGCTGTGAAATACACACTGCCTGATAGATCTCATCGTGGAGTTGAAATTGCTCAACAGACTCGTGCTCACCCGACGGGGTCGGAGCTGTTTTGGAGCCCAACGCGGCT